CAAGTTTCTGTAAGTATTTACATGGTAACACAAATCATCTGGAGATACCAAACACACCAAATACGTAAGATGGCTGCATATGTGCTGCTGTCAGGCTTAAGAACTGCCATAGTCCCTGATGATTTGTAGCCAGACACGTACAGAGAAGTGGTAAAAGGCTTTGGGGTATCCCAGACCTAAAATACTGTCAGTTTTTGGTGCTCCCCTACCCATCTTACTGGCTGACAACACTGCTTGTGAAATCTATCTTCTGCATCTCAGACCAACCTTGCACTTAGGGAAAGATTTTGCCTTGGAGTGTGGAAAATGCTCATTTACATTTCAGCTAAAACCCAGGACTTTTGAGAATAAATGGATAGATCTCGTTGCAGTTGTTGGGTGTAGAGACAGAGGAATGCCAGGCAGTAATGGAGGATTTTTATAATTTTCTCTTTACAAAGTGCTCTTGCAATGCTAAGCCTTGTGCTAATATTTGTAATACAAGGAGGAATTGATAATCACATTTCGGGAGAAATTAGAAGACTGAAGATGAAGCTTAAATGAGTGAGTGGTATCTGTTCAGTTTACCCAGGAAAAAGTTAAGGGTGATTTGATCATGTTCTGTTAGGAAAATCAATACATGCTATCTGGCCTTTTAGTCAAACAAAAAGAGTGCATTAGGATTCACTGACATGTAGAAGTAGCCAGATAGCTGAAAAAAGTGATATGCTTTTAAAAGTTTCCCCCTCAGTTTCCCCAAAAACTGTTAAAGAAAAAAAAATTAAAGAGTCAACTCTATAGTCTTGGCTGAAATTAGAAGTGCAGGAGGAGAAGGGATTCCACTAAAAGGCTGCAGGTTTTAATGCTTGGCAAGAAACAGGGAATTTCTAATTGCTGGCAGCATTTCAGAGGAAACATTTGCTTTGTTACTAAATTACATGCATTTAGGGCACTAAAATCATCTTCAACTATAATTCTTTTTTTTTAACAGCTTCAAAAATATAGCTGTCATGAAACCACTCTGTTAATATCCATGCATTTTTCTATTAATAGTTCACATTTGTGACTCACAAAGGTACAGTCAACATACTGATATTAATTTATGTAATAAACTCTTCATCAAAACCAGTATTTTATGCACTTAATTGTACTGGAATTTTGTTCAGGTTTATGTCTTTTTTTGAAAAGGACAATAAGATAAGTAGGCTGGAGGCTTTCCACACAAATTATGTTCTCCTTTCTTTTTATTTAAATCATAATCTTACTTCCTTCCCCTCTTCTTGCATTTCCAAAGTGCTGGGCTCTGAGCAGCAGTAACTCAAACAGCCCCAATTTGATCCTAAATGTATCATACTTATTCTGTGCAGTATAGTCAGGAGCTCTAGATGAGTTACACTTGCTGGACCAAATGTTATAACTAGCTTTTCTGACTAAAGCTGCTAAGAATTGCACTTATTAAGCCACTCTTACAGTCTGAAAAAAATGTCTTTCATCCCTTTTACAGATATGCTTGTAGTAACATGTCTACAATTTGAACTATCACATCTTTTTTTTCCTTCCCACCTTTGAGCAACTCCAAGTAATTTTAAAAAATTCTATGTAGAAAGGCAGGACCTCTGGAGCTGCCCAGAACAGAACTAAAACCTTGTTTAGTTTGCACAGGTTCTTGAAAAAAAAAAAAAACTAGCAGGATCTGCTAACATCTTTTGTCCAACACTCATGGATGCCTTGTGCTACTAAACTGAATAGAGCACCCATGGTGGCTATGAACAGTTTTGCTCGTGTTCCCATGACTTTGGTAGAAGCTCAAAGGAATGTCTCAGTTTCAGATATCTCTACCTGCAGCTTTCCTGAGTTATGCTCACACCACGTGTTGTGATGTGAAAAAATTCACCTTGTTGGGTTTGAAAAATTATCAGCCTGTAAGTTTGATTCCCACTTTTCTCCTTACTTAGAAAATGTGTTGAGGTTTGGATGTCTGTCATTGAGGATTCTCAAGCTCCATGCCCAAAGCTAAGCTGTGAAGACTAATGAGGGGGTTAAATATTTCTCTGAATACACCTCTGGGGACCCTGAAGACAGAAATGTGGTCCAATTTGATCATGATGGGCTTTTCACAGCCTGTAAAACAAAACCACGTGGCTTCATTCCTGTCCTGTTCAGAACTTGAACAGAAGGTGGCTGAAGTGTTTCTTGGCTGTATCATCCCTGCTACAGCAGCAACAGAAGCACTGAAAATGCCAAATGCGGGGACCCAACCAACAAACAAGAGGAAGCCTTAAGGAAACCATCAATACAGGAAAGGCAAGAAACACCTCTGCTCTTCTGGAGAGCCCTCACAGTGGTGAAGTCCTCTATTTTGAAGGGGCAGCTGAGAGCAGCTTCCATTGCAGTAGTCATGGATTATCCACGTGTCATGTTTTAGGCTGCAGGGAAGAAGAGCTGCAAGTGCACTTTTTGTGGATATTACCCTGGGAAATTTTCACATCTCTAGTCACAGACCGGCAGTTCAGAATAAAAAGTATCTATGGACTTGCTAAGTTTTCCTGCATGAATTTGCTTACTTCTCCTAGCCATGTCTTTTCCATACCTCCTATTGCCCTTAGGTCATTGCTTGAGCTCCCACCTATCTCCTGTGTGAGGTCCAGAATCATTCCAGGATCGATTTTAATCCCTTACCTTCTGAGCCTCTTCCTTCAGACGCTTTCGCTCTGTTCTAATCCATGCCCTGTAGAAATACATGCATGTGTGACTGCACATTAAAGCACCAAAGAGGGAAGACAACAAAAACGTAGCTTTAATTTTTCCCTTTTTTCTCCCCTTCCAGTAGCATGGATAGAAGCTATATGAAGCTGAACAGATGTTAATAAAATTGGTAATTAACATGTAACATACCAAGTGTCTTAGAACTTATTTGTCCCAAGCCAGCATTGGAGCTGGTACACCCTAGAAGTGGAAGACTGCAGCCAGTGAAGGACTTCCACTGAAGCATAGAGAGGCAGAGAGAAATCACCAGATTCTGACTGCACAACCTCCCAGTCTGTTCATTGCCTCACTGATGGCACTAAACATGACCTGTGGTGGTAACAAGGGATAGGAGTGTGGAGTGAAGTTGAGCCTGGAAAAGGGGAGGAGTGTTTTTTATATAAGCATTCTAATGTTGGTCTTTTTTTACATTTTCCAACACCTAAATCTGTAATTAAATACTAATGCTAATTGCCAATAAATTAAATTAAATTGCCCAATTAAAGTAAGTTAAAGTTTTGCCCATGACAGTGCATGAGAAATTATTTCCCTGTCTTTATCATAGTCTAAAAGCTTTCTTGGTCCTCTTCTTCCTGGTTTTACCCCCATCCTGCTGGTATGGGAGTGTGAGTGAGTGAGTGAGTGAGTGAGTGAGTGAGTGAGTGAGTGAGTGAGTGAGTACTTGGCTGTTGGCTGGGGGGAACCCACTCCAAGGTAACTGTGACAATCAAAGAATTGCCAGGAGAACAGAGCTTATTGAACTGCATTTTCTAATGCCTGGAAGCCATCTAAAAGATAGCTTAAAAAATCCTTCATAACTAAATCCTGTATTTGTCATCTGAAATTAAAAATATTATAATTTTCAATATTTATAAGATCACAGAATCACAAAATGGTTTGGGTTGCACAAGTTTATTCAACTTAGTTGCCTGCTGATTTCAATAAAGCGTTGAACTGTGGCCAAAAGCTTCAGTAAGAGAGGAAGATGTTTTGGTTAATTGGCCTCCCAAGGCATTTAACCTCAGAATTATGCAAAACTGGGGTATGTCAGAAGATGAAAGCATCTGGGACCCATTCTATTTCTTTCATGCTTTTCGTTTTTCCCTCCCAGCAGCACTGTTCAGCACACACAGCTTCCAGCAATGCTCCAGCCACCCTTCTCACTCACTGGCCATGGCTGATACAGGGGAAAAGAAGTTTCCTGCATTTATCTCCTGTCCCTCCTAGGTACATCACCTCCTGCCTCTGAAGCACGTGGGTCTCCTTGGGTATTTTCTGACAAATCTTTTAAAAAATCCTCCCTGCTTTTAAAAATTCTCCCTGCTCCATCCCTGGCCAAAATCAGGGTTGGACTAACACAAGGGCTGCTGTGAACACAAATAAATGTCACTTTGTGAGGCAGCAGCACCCCTAGAGCCCAGCAACCATGCCAGGCTCCTCTACAAAATAATTTCAAGGGACCATCACATAGTTATATCCTGCCCTCTCACAAAACCAGGCCCAAAATAAAAGTTTTTCTCGTGCCAAGGAAGCTTTCAAGCACCCTGAAATCCTCACAAAAGAACAGGGAGAGACCAGGTCTTCTGTGGCACTAAAATTCCAGCTTTACCTTTTCTTCAAAATCAGGAGGTTTTCATAAAAATGAAGCCTCCAAAATACATTTGTGCTGTAATGGGACTAACATAAAAGGGTCAGAAGTGGGACTGCTGTAATACTGACGAAATGTAAAGAAACAGTGCAATCCAAATCCCAGGAAAAAAGAAAAACAAAAAAAATACAAATAAACCCCAAACAAACAAACAAACAAACAAACAAACAAAACCCCACAAAAAACCAAACCCCCCCCCAACAACAACAACAAAAAAACCAAAACAAAGAACCCAAACAAAACAAACAAAACAAAAACCCCAGAAAAAATAAAAACAAAACAAAACAAGCCCACAAAAACCCAACAAAAAAACAAAAAATAAACAACAACAACAACAAAAAAACAAAACAAAAAAACCCCCACCAAAAGGTAGGTCTTTCCTATGCTTTGACTGGATAAATCTTTATTCTGGACAACTGAACTATTTTGAAATCATACACATGCCTTAAATCTGTGCTTTACACAAGTTTAAAATTGCATTTGGAAACTATGTCCTTGACATTGAACTCAACACCCTGAGCCTAAGCAGGTTAAGTTACCAGCAACAAAAAAACTACATTAAACAATTTTTAATTAGCTTCAACTTAGTAGCCACCAACTAGACAAGAAGCAAGTTCAGCGTTAGAACTGAAGAATGAAGACTGACAGTATTTATTTTGGATTTAAAATGAAATATTGAATGTGGTTCATACATTTTTTGCAATGCAATTTTTAAAAAAGATGACATTCAAATCGCAAGACTTTTTACTCCATTACAATAAAAGATACACTTCGCTTCAGCTGCTCTGTTAAATTCTTAACAGACATTTTCAAGTTTGGGGGAAAATCCAAACCCAGCACTGAGGCTGCAGTATGGTTTCTTCTTGCTGAACTAAAAATAGTAAATAATAAACACATCTTTACTTTAGCCACCTACAACACTGGTTTCATAAATATTCGTAATGACTGTGTGGTTCTGGATTTGAACAGAAAATTTGTCTCTGCCACTGACTGGAAAATATTCTGCAGCACCTGTCACACAGCGACCAGTTTGTTTCAGATGCACTTTATTGAGGATTATTTTCTTTTCTATGGATTTTTCTTCTATACACACATCTCCACACATATATGTATATACATGTATTTATTTGTACGTAAACAGGTATTTATTTTTTTGCTTTATACATAAGTAAAACATATTATCAGAGAACCTGGTTGAAACTCGGTGCAGCCCCAAACCTGTCTCAGTGTTTCTTACGATCCTTTCTGCATTTATCTCTAAGACTTGTGATTATCTTCACCTGAAGCTCCTCTGTTTTCACCTCCCATTTCTGTTCCTGGTATGATTTGGCTGGCTCTGACACCTGATAAGCCATCAGATCTCTTTCTGTACGTCCTTTCCAGATTCTTGGGATAACATTAATCTCACCTAACTTCAAATACCTAGGGCAGAGAGATTTATGTTGATCACTGCCAGATCCCTCTACAGTCAATGAAGAGAACCAGTCCCTTCTGGAGACCTACCCCTCTGGCTATCCATGTGCCATTGCCTTCCACTGACAAGGCAGAGAGCCCTAGCTCAGGTGACCTGGTTCAGATGCAAACATTCAAATTGGCGAGGTAAATTCCACTGTCTTTTTCAAACTTTTATTCATTCCCCGCTATTAATATGCTCAAGATCACAAAAACATACGTTTTCACAATTTATCACTTTCAGCTGTAATGCTTTTGTATTCCTTAACACAAATAATATGCAAATCATTAAAAAACCCACTAGAAAATTACATACTTTTTATGTTATGTCTGTTTGTACCAAAACAAGAATAAAATGTAGACGAGTTTATTGATAATTGTAAATGTTACTGTTGATGCAAGATAGGTAACAATACTCTTCACTTAGGTATTATAACTTTTCTCCATGCAGAGCAGAACCAAATCTAAAATAAGAATTATTTCATTCCGTGAGAATACTTCTTTTAATAAATAAAACTACTTGCTATGCAGGTTTTGATGAGATGAAATTATTACAGTTATCAAGTCTTCTTAATTAAAATCTACAAATCATTCAATAAAACTGAACTCAAACTTTCAGGAAACAAACTAGCTACAATACAGAACTCAGGTGTTTGTATTTATAAATATATATATATACACATATACACACAAATAAAAGGAACGTAAGGGATAAAATAGCTTTCCTTTACACAAAGGAACTGAGCACTCTCCACCAACTCCAAGCATTACCATGAAGATACCTCATGCAACTGCTTTAGCTCCTACAGGCCCTGTTCCCATTTTTGCTACTGGCTTGCAATTTATTCTGCAGGTTTAAAAAAACAAACCTGCCTGTCCCCATACCTCTACGATAAGGAGAGGCTTCGTTTCTTAATAAATCCCACCCTCTTCAGTACAACCATTAGCCTGTGGCATTGTAAGCTTTTCGTAAATATTTTGTGAGATCTAATACTTCTTCAGTAGTTAAGCTTCCTTATTTTGAAATAACCAAAACACATTGATTCTTTTAGAAAACAGAACTGAGCAAAATGTTCCATGTAGGAAGGCAAATCTAATTTACTTCTCCTGGACAGACTTCTTCAAACACAGAGATCTAAATTAAAGACAGCAATCTTAGGCAAGGAGATTGATACATAACCAGAAGATAAAATATGTATACAACACTGCTGAATTCACATAATGCACAGAAAATTAGTATTTTCTAAAAGATGCAGTGTTTCAGCCAGTATTCCATGCATAGCTTTCTCAGATGAATTGCAAAGGAAATCTTGGCACGTAATGTTGAAATCAGCCCTTAAAGGATTTACAAGTTGACCAAAGCCGTATGTAGCTACAGGGGGTGACTCTGGTGGTGTGACTTATTAATGCTGCCCTTCTTACCTTGGAGAAAGCTATGTGCTTTCCTCACTTACACAGGAGATCTTCCATTCATCTGGCACAGTATTCTTGTGTGTTGATTTTTTCCTCCTGTGTAACAGTTCTTCACCTTCAGGGATCACTGCTGTGTGCAGACAGCTCAATTTCTCATGTGTAAAGTTAAGTACAGCCTGCAGCTGCTTGCTCTGCCCATCCCTGGAGAGAGGTGTTCCAGCAACAAGGGAAGCCAAGTGGATTTGAAGCAGCCATGCAGAGGCCTCAGTTTATACCCTCCCATCCCAAGTCAATGCAAGTTAAATAGCATGGAATATAAACTGTGGGACCTCAGGATTTCCATCCTCTGTGATTCATCCTCCCTAGCTAAAGACAGACAGGAGTAGGGAAAGGCAGTCATTGCTTTAGGCACTTGAGTTTAACCCATCCATGGATGTCAGAGTTAAACCCTTAGGCTAGCAATGGAAACCCCAGTATAACCTTTGTCTTCCTTGTCATGCAGTCCAATTATTTTTGTCTGAAAACCCTAAAATGTCACATTTTTTCCCCCCAGACATTACAGCAATATATTTAATGGTTTTTATGGCTGACTGATGGTGAACTGAGCTGCAGTGGGAAAGCAAAATGTTTACACAATAAACCCATAAATCATTTTGTAATAATTAATGAGTGTTCTCGAGGTTTTACTGCTGCTGATTAGAAACCTAATTCACTGGAATTGGTCACTCATTGTACTATACAAAGGGAAAAAAAAAGTCACTGGTCCTTCACGTTCTGAAAAGGGGGATGTGATAGTAGCGGTCATCTTCAGTCAGGAGAGAAATCTCATTCCATTCCCTTCGGTATTCATTCGGATAGGTTACTTGAAATTCCTCAGTATTAAACCTATGCAGTCTGTAAACTCGTATCTTTACTTCAAGTAAGTATCCAAGAAGAAACAGTTCAACCTAAAAATTAAAGAAATCTGTAAGATATTTATTTCTAGACTTCGAAAACTAAACTGAAGATAATCCAAGTTAAGGCAAATAATTTAGCTCCAAAACAGTAGACAAGGAATAAAAGGGGCCCTTTTGCTAGTGGAGTAAGAACATTAAAAGCTTGAGGGCATTTCCAACAGCCCTTCCACTTCTCTTTTGCATGTAAAGAGAAACATTCCTGCACCTGACACCATACATAACCTGTTCTCAAGCCAGCTCACAAAGCTGACTGGGGAGCAAGAAAGGAATTGCTGTTACCAAGATGGGTACACCTAGAAAAAATGGGAAGCCTGCCACCTTGTGATCACTTGCTACATATGGAAAACATAACAGCGAAAGGAAAAAGTTTCTTGGTACTTTACATAAACGAAACTGGAGAACTGGCATCTTCATTGATATTTCTTGCAATGGAATGACTACTTAATCAGGAAAAAAGGTTTTGGAAAAGTTCATATCCTTGGGCATAGCCAGACAGAGCAGAACTTGTCCAGTTATAATCAAACTGCTCCTAAATCTGACTGCATCACGTAACAATTGACTTGATAACTGAAATTGATTATAAAAATAATTTCAGCCATTGGAGAGTGAAACCATTTGCAGAGTGGCAGTGTGAACTTTAGATGTCAGGACTGAACTTCTCACTAATTATAAAAGCAGAAACAAAAACCTTAACATATAAAGGTGATTAGTAGAGTTCTCATTACCTACTCCCAATAGACATTAGATCTCATGAGAAGCAAGGGTGGGAAGAAAAGAGTGATGCTACAGGGCTTAGCATAGTGGAACAGATAGGAAAAGCAAAACAACTGGTCAAAACAGCGTCATCTATAACTATTTTGCGTATCAAAGTTATTATTGTTCTAAACTATGTCTTGCTGATAGCCTGCAGCATTTATTTTTGGTTCACTCTTACTACAGTTTTTTTTTTTCCTGGAAGATAAATGGCTGTCCTCAGTCCACTTCCCCACATCTCAAAAAAAAAAAAAAAAGGGCCAGCTATCATGGATGATGGATGATACAATCAACTAATCACTACAAAGATGGAATAAGTTTTGTGATTAGTTTTTCGTCTGAGTCCTTACCTGATCTAGGCAAACAGAGTCACCTATGGAGTTCAGATGATTCATCATGAAACTCAGAGGGTCAGATGAAGAGTCACGAGCAAAGAGAAGGCTAAAAAGGTTGTGTACGGGTTTGTCCCTGCTCTTTATCTGCTCATAGGCTTCGACAACTTCATAGAGCATGATGAATTTTATGGCCTCATACAGTTTGTATTCCTTACTTTCATCAGAAAACAGCGTATTACACATGCTTCCTCTTTCTTCATGATCTCTTGTAGCACTTATTTCAGCCCACTGGAAAGCACACAGAAAAAGAATATTATTAGAATTATTAAGAATTCTATTTAACATGAAAGATTGCATAACAGGAACAGAAGCCTGGTCTAAGTATAAAGCAGCTATTAACTGAAACAGCCCAGGCACAATAGCATGTGGAGGCAGCAGCCCCCAATCTGATCAAGGCCAATGGTTTGAGCTACAACAAGGCCAAGTGCCGGGTCCTGCACTTGAGTGACAACAACCCCAGGCTGGGAGCAGAGTGGCTGGAAAGTGGCTTGGTGGAAAAGAGTGGGAAAGTGGGGGTGCTGGTCAACAGCAGTTGAACATGAGCCAGCTTGTGCCCAGATGGCCAAGAAGGCCAATGGCATCCTGGACTGTACCAGAAATAGTGTGGCCAGCAGGACTTGGGCAGTGATTGTCCCTCTGTACTCAGCACTGGGGAGGTCACACCTCAAATCCTGTGTTCAGTTTTTGTCCCTCGCTATGAGAAGGACCTTGAGGGGCTGGAGTGTGTCCAGAGAAGGGCAGTGGAGCGGGTGAAGGGTCTGGAGCACAAGTCTGTTGAGAAGCAGTAGAAGGAGCTGAGATTGTTTATCCTGGAGAAAACAAGGCTGAAGGGGAACACACTCTACAACTACCTAAAAGGAGGGTGTAGCCGGGTGGGGGGTTGGTCTTTTCTCCCAACTAACATGTCATAGGACAAGAGGAAAAGGTCTGAAGTTTTGCCAGGGGGGATTTAGATTGGATACTAGGAGAAAATTCTTCATCAAAAGTGTTGTCAAGCATGGGAACAGGCAGTCCACGGAAGTGGTTGAGTCACTGTCCCTGGAGATATTTAAAAGTGTAAATGTAGCCCTTGTGGACACGGTTTAGTTCTGGGCTGGACTTGATGATCTTGAAAGTCTTTTCCAAACTAAATGATTCTATGACAATGGAGCTGGGAAAGGCAGTAAAGAATCCTGTTAGTATAAATAGGCAAAAATCCATCTCACTAGCTGAACACCATCTTAATTTTAAAAAATACTGAAGTTGGCAGCTACACCTCATGCCCAATAATCGTATAATGCATCACAGAGTTGCTTTGAAAAAATGTGTTAATTGTAAGGATTTATTCATTCGACTTGAAACTTTTTCTCTTAACAAAAAGATTAAATGCAGATTAAATGCTTTGTGCACTAACATCAGCTAAAAGAACTGCAAACTAAAAATGGAAGCCAAATAAGCCAACACTAGGAAATGCAAGGAGCAACCAGAACAAAATGAAAACTGCACATAACTACCAGACCCATCTCAAAAAGATGCAGCTGTCACTTTGGGACATCAAGGGTGCAGGTGAAGGACCAAATCATCTATTTTAATTCCCTCTTTTTCTTTCTAATGCTTGGTTTCTAGAGCTTAGATTATTCTGTTTGGGTTGTTTGGGTTTTTTTTTAATTAACAATTACTAACACTGCAGGTGCACAGAAACCCCAGAGGAACTCAAGAAAGGTGCAAGGTCTTGACAAGCCAACTCTTTATCTCTGTTTCAGATGGCTTTGGGGCTACTAAATCTCCCCAAGTTTTAAGTATGAAAGTAAGAATTATAGTCTTGGGTTGGGAATGATGGCAATCTGGCAATGCTGAGCAGAGGAGGCGGTGAGGCTGACAGGTCTTTGCAATCAAGTGCAAGCTTACCGAAAGAAATTATAGCAAAAATGGATAATTAAAACATTTATTGGGGATAGAAGCAAAGAAAATATCATAGTTTTAGAAGAAAGTGCACTGTTTGCTTGCTCCTTTCCAGCTGGGGAGGGAATCCAGAAGCCTCTCATACAGCATGTTTATTTTTAGCCGAAATGATGAGATACTGCAGGAGCCACTTGATGGCACAGACTAGCTGTGGGGACGGTGGCCTCCCTAATTTGCAGGGGACTCCTGAGTACTTGGCCTAGTGGATCACCAAAAGCTGGATTTCCCTGCAGGAGAGGCGATGGCCTTCCCAGCAACTCAGCAGTTTGAACCTGGGAGGGAGGCTGACTGCCCCACAAATATGTAACAAGGAGCAGTTCCTTAGTTCAGTCTGAGCCCATTTCTCCAGGCTTTTATTCCTTCCAACCGTTTCCCAGATACTCACATTTGTCTTTAACGCCTCCATACATTTGCGCAACTTCCCAAAGGTATTGGGACCCGTGTATCTTTCTGGCCCAAAACTGTATTGCTGAATCCAGTTACAACCTTGAGAATACAAAAGCTTTTCAGGGAGCTGGGAAAAAAACAAAAGGCAAGCTAATCATAACCATAACAAGAAGCAGAGTATAAGGTTATATAAACTTGTCTACATACAATTTATGATGTGATTCTATCAACTGTTTGTACAGTTCAAACAACAAAGTAAATGGACCTCACAATTCAAATGCTATGAAGGAGGATCCACTTAACTGCCAAGTCCTTAAGAAACTTTTAAAACAGGGCCAGCCAAAAAAAAGATGAAAATATGCTTTCAGCAAAATATATAACCCACATTCTGGAAAAGCTGGATACTTCCAAATTCTGTGGGGTATTTAGGATTACAGACACCTTGCAGTCTGCACATGCTTCTCTACAGGCAGAAGCTATAGATCCCACCTTCCTGCCACTATCTCCTGCCATAACCCCTGGAGCCCAGGGCAGGATTCCTGCTGCTCCAGCAACACAGCAGCTCCCAAGTAAGCCACTGAACTTTGCATGGATGTGGAGGATTCAAATAACCTGTTGTGTTAAGGGAGTGACATCTAGAAGGATGGCAATAACAGTCATTCATCCACTTTTTTGGGTTTTTTGTTTCTTTTTTACATCATTTAGACTCATGTTCACATTGGTATATTTAGATCAGGGACAGTTTTTCAATTAAATGTAGTCCAATGGGTTTGAAAAACTTCTCTTTGAATTCTGATAATTATTCTCCGCTTCAACAGCCAACATACCACTTTTCATACTGAACAAGGCTTTCTTCTGCTGTGCATGGATAGCTAAAATGTGTTCATTTAGGAAATGAATTTTACCTTCAATATATCTCTTTCCTTCATCCACGAAGGAAAATGAATGCCTTGGCTGAATATCTGAAAAAGCACCGCTCTTACTACACTATAGTTGTCCCTCCTGACTTGTCTCAGGTATTTGATATGACAGCTCCTAAACAATTCTTCATATGCCTAGAAAGAGATCAAGAAAAATTAGCAATGAGAAATATTAAATCTTGAGAAAAAAAACATGTTGTTTGAAGTCCAATTCCAAATTACTCGTAAGAGGGAGCTAGGGGAACAAGAGAATATATTTTTAAGATTTATATACACAGAAATGTTAAACACCATGTTTTTGTAAACACCTTCGACTGGTGCTGCCCCTTAACAGTGATTCTGCATTCCTTCCAAACCCAGCAACTCGTTCAAGTCTCTGCACTGTTGCTACTGTAAACATTCACTTGGTCAACCAAATTAGTGCACATCAGCACAGATTTCTGTGCTGTAACAGCATTAACCTCAACCGCTTTACAATTTGCATTGATATATGAGATGCAGCAGCAAAAGGGCAGGAACGAGTATCTGGAGAAAACGTTTTTGGCAAAAACATCTCCTTACATTGACCTGAATGCATCGTCCAGCACTGACCTGAGGCAGATCTGGTAGCTCTGTGCTGCAGCAGAGAGCCCTTGGTCCAGCTACACACTCTGCATTACCACTGGCTGCCATCTGAGCCCTTGTTGAGACAATTCTGAGCAATAAACTGGCAGAGAATTAGGGAGAGAACTCTAGAGTCGCACAGGCTGCCCCATCACTTCCAATTTGCTTCCTGAAGGGGGCAGCAGGACGGTCTCAATTCCTCATGCCCCGTTTATCTTGGTTATTCCCTCACCCCATCACACCACTTCTCAGCTGCACTCTTCTCCCCTTACTCTATCAGCTGAGACAGTAAGCCTATTAAACTGTTTCTGCTGAGGGAGTTTCCTGCTGCTTCAGGGCTTCAGAGAAGCTCTTTGTGGATGTCCTGCTGTATCAGCTCACCATCTAGGTGGACCACATCAAAAAGAGAAGGAGAGCCAGCACAGAAGAGGGAGAGGGACTGCTTAGCCAGGACAAGGCGAGAAAGAGGGAGAGAAAAGACAAACAAGGGATTGTTCCTTTTGGGGACAGCAAGCATGTTATGCTGGATCTCACAAACGTCATCCTAAAATGTCCTCCTTACCATGGCAACTTCTACCTGGCAGATATCTACATGGCAGGTATCTACTGACTGCTGCATATACAGGAGTCTCTTTTTCAGGTCTGTAAATCCAGAAATATTTTCTGGAAGGTATTTTGCCCAGTATGAGCTTACAAATTTATTGTAAGTTTTGCTATCTTTTGTTACTTGCTCCTCCGAGTAATTTTTGGCCTTGTGTGTTGTTCTGTGAACTTCTGACACTGCTGTGTTCTTGCATTTAACGTGGCAAAACTGGATCTTTTCTTTGTTCATCAATTGAATGCAACTCCAGCTTTTTGAAAACCATCTTCTTTTTTCTATAACCCCCCTATGCTACTGTTTATTGTTACTAGCTTATTTCTACCCTTTAAGTCCTTCTTGGTGTGCATTTGCTCTGAGATTCCAATACCATGACCTAAAGCCAATACCTGTCAAATACACTGATGCAGATAAACTGCCTCTCTTGCCAACAGTGCCCAGTGCAGGGTAAGACAGAAGCAGAGAAGCACCTGGGCTGGGGTGCAGAGCTGGAGCAGGAGCACTGTGCCCAAAGGCATGGGATGGCCACCATCCAGCACCCCAGCTCCCTGCCTGCTGGGCAGCACCCAAGCTGGCAAAAGTTAGATGCCAGCTCCTGCCCTGCCTGCTGCCAGCTGCAGCTGATGATGCTGGAGAAGGAAAGGCTGCCAAGCATGGACCTTCAGAGCCTGGAAGAGAGATGGATGCAGTGCTTCCTTCCTCCCTAGAATAAGAATTTTTACCTTAAATCAAAGGCTGGCCAAGTGACAGCACCTAAGACCAAATTATTTTGCTTTAGCACTGGGGATGATTTTTCCTATTAAGGTCACTATGTGGGTCACTGATACTAGAAGAGGGAATTCAGAATATATATACAAGACTAAAACTTGATCTACATTTTGACCTGCACTGCTGCACTCTTAATTTAGACCCATGTTCATGCTATCCCTTTTGGTTTTCATTTGACTAGCTAGTGTAGCAGGCTTTGATAGCTGCTGCAGCTGTGTGCACTGAGTGCTATTCCTTTCCCAGGTGCTGGTTCTCCCCTGTCCTCATGCAGAGATTAAAATTTAACTCTTACCTCCCTCATCTGTTTGGCCTGCTTTGTTTCTCCTTTCCATTCTCTTGCACTATAACCAAGCAGATCAACTTCTGGCAGCACACTGAGATTCCCTAAATTGAGATTGATTCACAGATTAGTTATGTTCTGCTGTTCTGCATCTAAAGGGAACTTGCAAGGGTGATTAATGAATGTGGAGTGACAACAAAAACCTTACTTATGAGTTGCCTCTGAAGGTAGTTGTTCCACCTGAAATATAAATGATAGAACAGGTGTCAACGAGGAGGTGTTGAAGGTCAGTATTTACTGAAATAAGCAACAGTGTGGAAGATTCAAGTCTGCTTAATAAAAACCTACCGTTTCAGCAGCTGTGCTAAAAAGCTGTATAGCCTTCTACAATACCAAAACAGAGCAGTGAGGAAGGACATGCTTAACATTAGCTGCACTTTCACTTTTTGCCACATGAGACACAGGGATTCCTTACTGGCTGTTTTCCAGGACCACACCTCATGCCTTCCTAAAATAGGGATCAAAAGAGAGAGGGAAAAATCACTATTTTGAAGTACTTTTCCTGCTTGTTTTCTTGCAAAAAGAAAGATCATCCGAACATGATACCACTTCAAATGAAAGACAAAACATGACATGCAAAAGGTTAATATATTTTACTTAATACACATTGTTTATATACTTAGTTTTTCAGGTTTCTAGGGGCTTGGGTGCACATAGTTCACATTTCCACACTTTCCTGCACACAGTGAAGGCTACATATACAGTTACAATGGAGTCAAGAGAAGACTGGTATCAAACACACTGCTCAGTAACAAAAAAAAACCAAACCAAAATTATTTTTTTTTAAACTTCAGGATGTGCTGATCTAGAGACCTATACTGTCATTATTTTGTCTCTAAGTACTGGTTTTAAAGACCAGCAGTTTGTAGGACTTAGTTGTAGTCAACAAATGGGCCATATAAGGCAATATTAGCTGACTAAGCATCATATGACTGCCTGGGGAATTAAAGGAATGTTCCTGCCTCAATCTGGGTAAGTTTAGGGTCAATTTAAAACTCCAGAGAAAGATCCCCTCCAGGTATTTGGTAGAAAGCTCAGGAGATCATCACAGAGGGGGTACACACTCACTGTTCTTCATAGGCATAAACAAGGACAAAATTCTGTCATTCCCCTGGCATTACAGGGGAGGTTATGGTTGTCTATCATTGATAAGAAGACCTTCAAGAGAGAGAAGGCCTGGAGACTGAACAGCTGACAAAGGCAGTATCTGCTCCCTAAGTGAGAAATTCGCCCTCTTGAAGAAATTTGAATATAGGAAATTCCCAGAGTTTATGATGAACAGCTGTTCTGTTATTAACTTACTGATTTAGTACAAAACCTTAAAAGAACTAAACTTTTTATGAACACATCTACAGAGAAAGCTGAAAAGATCCTTCTCCAGGGAGTCTACAGAGGGGATTACTCATTCCACATAGTTTTATGTCAGCTGAACTTCTGCCCCTCCTGGCTTTAACAGGAAGTTTAAGAGGGACTTAATTTTTCCAAATAAGTTAAGCCCATGCACTGTGGACGACAATCCAGTCAAAGAATTACATATCAATTCCAACCTTAGCAACAAGATCAACAGTGATGCACTCATTTTTACGAGCACTGTTGCATATATACAGAGCACTGCTGATACTTGGCCTTTCCCAATATTCTGTTGTTTGAAGAAGTTTTATTACAAGATGTTGTATGCAAGTCATCTGGTGGTGAGACTTTGCCTCTCCTGTGAACTAAAGGCAGGTTAAGAGCTGTATGTGAAAAGGTGTCAGTAAATTTTAAGTAATCAGAGGTGGGGTCGGGCTGCTAGCTCTGAAGCTTCAGAAAACGTTTATTACTGATGCCAAGAAACAGACAAGTAAACATCAGCTGTAAGGTTTGGAAATGGAAAACTTCATAGAAAAACCAGACACTCCCACGTACAGCTCACACGCACATAAAAACACACTCCCACTTCCTCCTGAGGGACACTGGTAGGCACATTCTCAATAAGCACACAAACTTCTATCTAGAGAAATGACAATCCCAGCAGAATCAAGCAATTGCATTTTTTTTCTCTTCTTTAGGATAAAGGCATCAGCATTGAAAAAAACCTCAACGGACTGTGAATAACTGAACCTTCTGTCCACTAGAACGGAACCTGATGGCTCACAGATGTTCAGCCCATGGATCAGTGGGATTTATACTGTTGCATGCAAACCAATGATGATTAAAATTAACACCAATTTAAATATACAGTATCAAAGGTAAGTTGCAGCAGACTTTCATTTCATTACTTAAAAGGACCGTATGGTCCACTCCCACATTTGATTTTGAACAAACTGGCTCTATAAAAAAATCGAGAGCTGGTCCATCTGTTAAAATGACATACTTTGCATTATGGAGTACCAAGAAATACATGTGAATGCAAAATTTCTTCCCTTACCCCTTTTACTGGCAGAAAGATGAGAGCTCCACATCAGTTTTTAAACTGAATCAAGCAATCTTTTGAAAAAGTTTTTGATGGTAATAATCACGAAAAAACCCTCAGGCTACTGGAGTTCAACAAACTCTTTCAATGCCCAGGTGCTTGAGCAACTGCTCCTCAAGGAGTGCTGGGAAGCACAGGTTTATTGATTTCCATCAGAAACACAAATCAGTGTCACAGAATACAAGATAACCAAAGAGTGCTCACTCATTTTTATTTAATATGGGGGATTTATAAATGGGTATTTCCATGGTAGAAAGCCAGATGGGTGATGGAAAAACCTGCAAACCAGTGATTTTGATTACTTTTTATATACTTGTATTTGCAGCATACCTTAGACTTCATGAACTTTCTCTCCTGTCATGGGAAAGCTGCTGTTCAAACAGCACTTTGTGATTCAGATAATACTTTCAGTGCTTATGTCACACTCGGAAATTAATTACCTTTTTTTTTTTAAGTAAATGACATTTAGAAGTAGCAGTTGGATTGCAAAGTGCTGCTGGTAAAAATACATCATGAGTGTAAATTAAAGAAGGCAGCAGCTTAAAATAGATCCCGCCACCCCCCTCCCTGCACCTTCCAAAAGTCTTCAGAAACCAACGAGCAATTAAATTAATAACACATAAGTGGGGGGAGTAAAATAAACCCACAGAATTTTAAACCAAATCCATTCCCTGGGATATTGGCTCAATTCATCCGGTTCCTCAGGAGGCAGTGGCAGGAGCAGTTGGTGCTGTGACCAGCTGCTGGGCTCCCATCTTCTTGAAGACTGACTGCGAGCATCAGCATGACTGGGAGGCCTGACTCTTCTGCCATGCAGAAATTTGGAAGAATAGAGGCTGAACAATGCTGGAGTAGGAGCTGATAGCAGTGTTTATCTTACAGAGCAAGTAGTACACTGTATTTTCTTTTCATGCCACATCAGCTTCCTGCTAGTGCCAAGCCTTAAGCTTTTACCGTCTGCAAAGTCAGCAGGAGAGACACACAGAAGAAAAAAAAACCAACAAAAAAGGCCAGAAAAAAAGTAAGTAAGAGAGGTCTGCAACATCTGTTTCATTCCCAAGTAACTCATGAAGAATCTCTAAATGATTTGCTTCACATTTGAGTCCCTCACAACTTTTTTGGAGGCTGCCACCTTTAAATATGCATAATTGATGAAATGCAAAATGTCAGAGCTCAGCTAGGGAACTAGCAGACAGCACTGCATGCATTACTGAATATTCCAGCATGCCTGATGGCGCAATCACCCTTTACTGTTTTTCTCCATACCATTAACAAGGCCATCAGAAAGATAACACAGCATCTTCCCAAATTAAAACCTGACAGAATGATTTCTTTTTGGGAAATTCCTCCTCACCATCTTTTTGGTACTGAAAGCAAGACATAGCACTTGTCACCATAAAGTGGCCAGGTTTCATACTCGCATCACACAAAATTATGTTCCTAGTTCCCAAAAAGCAGGTATACCCCCTTCATTCAAAGAGGGAGGCAAAATGTGGGACTCCTCTGTTACAACCCTTATGCTGTCCCACCTGTACCACTCCTTCTCCCTCCTCTGTTGGATGCAGAGCTAGGAAGGGAGACCCTCAACTGAGACACACAAAGCTTGGCACGGAGATCCAAGTCTGCCTGTGTTCAAGGTGTGCACACAGAGTTCTCTTCACGGTGCTGCACATTGCTGTTTTCCAGATAACACACCATCAGCACCAAAGGTATGTTACAGAAAAGGCTAAGTCCCTGTTTTAAGGGAAAACAAACTTACCCTTGCAGAGCAGGCACAAGCATGATGCACATGTGTACACAGACCTCAACTGAATAAGCCAAGAGGGAGACACACAAAAATGATTAATTACACAAATTCAACACCTACAAAAGATTACATCCCATCAAAGTTTAGAAGAGAGAAATAGGCGTTTTTAAGTGGTGTCATGAGACCACAAATTCTTTGATTTCCCAGTTTATTATCATCACTGCACCAAAAAAAAAAAAAAAATACTGAAAACAGATCAAACACATACCAAGATATGTGAGAAGCACTGCTTAATTCAATAACTATTTCATTACAAACCTCTGCCTTTACAGAGTAACGCAATGACAACTTGTTAAGCAACATTCACCTGTTCTAACAAACAGGAGAGATGAGGATCTCTTCTTGGTATAGTAAGAAAATAATTTACAAAGATGGTAATCGTCAGTGACTTATCAAAAGTTCAACCATGTCTGCTGATATCTTCTAATAAAAAAAAGAAAAAACAAACCCAAAAACAAATGAGAATCCCAGCCCCAAACCATAAGTAAAATCACACAATTACCTAGAAAACAGAATAGTTTTGGTAACACTGAGGCCCGTCAGTTGCAACAAAGGTTGCAACAAAGGGTTTACTTACACAACTCTTCTGCATAGGGCTGTCCCAAGTGCCCTCTTAGCTCCCTCAGGGTTTTCTTCAGAAAAATATAGAGAATATAGAGCTGGCAGCCTTCTTCAGACTCCCTGATCATCAGCTGGAACTGCTGGTGTTAATGTATCTATGCAGTTGTGACACATACTTATTCCTACTGTGCAGCAACAACCATAATGTGTTCTTACCTACCGGGTGATTATCTAAAATATACCCTACTAGAATTACCTTTACAAAACCAATTTCAGCTATATAATCAAGATATTAATGAGCGCCTTAGCCCGCATATACCATTTTCTCTCTACAAACGCCTACGAGAACAAAAGGAAAGTTCAGTTCTTCATTTCCTGTACAATTCAGCTTCCTTTTTAAGGCACAGGGTACTTCATCCAAGACCTTTAGATGAATAATGCTTAGCCCCACTTCCATTTAAGTAAGAAAAAACATGACAGAAGCCTTCTGAGAATTTACAGTCCAGAATATTGGATGAGAAACACATGAAAAACATTTCATGCCATTAAAAAAACATTAATCTCTCTAAAAGTCTTACTCCTAATTTAAAAAAATGAAAACATAAAATAACCTCCTTTTAAAGAAGGA